TAATAAATAGAAATGACCAACTAACATATTAAAAGATAATTCATTTTATTAGGAATCCAAAAGATGTGGATTAAAATGAAATTCCTTTTCATCTGCCTCATTAATTTATTCAACAAACATGTGTTGAGTGGTCATTGTGTTTCTGACACCATTCAACTTGGTGAATCTTTATTTAAATGGTAATAATTTTAGGATTCAGTAAGATGATTGCCATCACATGGTGAAAAACAATTTTATAATGTGCACCAAGAACCATAAAATAGTTACTACCATGAAACCTAGTAATTAAACTTCTTGAAATTTATCCTAGGGAAATAGTCAGTGCAGCAGACAAACATTAATGCATGAGGATGTTAATCATGGCATAATTTATAATATCAAAAACATTAGAAGCCTAAATGTCTAACAATAAAAGTGATTAAATAAATTATGGTGCAATAAAATGGTGAACAATTATGCAGACATTTAAACTGTGTTTTCAAAGACTATTTAATGACATGGGGAAATGATGATGAAAAAATTTAAAGCCTATATTTAAAAATAATTTCATATATCCAATTAAAGTGATCCATTCTTTCTTTCCTTAAGAGCCAGGAGTTATTTTTGCTTTCTACAGGCAAGCTATCTAATACTTCTCTGAATCCTGCAAGGCACATAACATTTCACATTTCTCCATATGCTTCTCAATTCTAGTAGGTACTGAAATAAACAGTCTCACATGTTCACTGCAGCATTATTCACAATAGCCAAGACATGGAAGCAATGTGGTTGTCTTTCAATCAATGAATGGATAAAGAAGATCCAATATAGATACACAGTGGAATCTTATTCAACCACGAGGAAGATCTTTCTGTTTGCAACAACCTGGATGAACCCTGAGAGCACTATGTTCAATGAAATCAGTAAGACAGAAAAGGACAAATGCTGCATGATATCACTTATATGTGGAATCTAGCAATGACAAACTCGGAGAAGCAGAGAGAGAGAGTGGTGTTTACCAAGCTTTGGGAGGTGGAGGTCCTTACTATCTGAGCTACCAGGGAAGCCCTAAAGAAACAACAGGACTTCATATATGTTAAACTTATCTAAAGTATCGAACATTGTTCTAGATTTCACACAATGGCTGTTTTATAGAAAGACAGGAATAAAGAGAAGGAATAGGAAGAAAGTAGACTATTAAAGACCAAAGTTAGAGCAGAGAGAGGAGGCAGAGATGCATGAGACGAGTATGTGAAGGACAGAAAATGTAAAAGGACACATAGCTGAATTTTAAGGAAATTACTCTGCATGTCACTATGGTATTAGAACTTAAGAAATTCCCTTTTTCAAGTATTGATAGTTCTATGTAGATCAGACAAGACACTTACAAGAAGCATTATTTGTTTCTCGTAACACCAACCACAGGAAGGGCCAAAAAGGATGTCATGGTAGAAAAAGCAGAACTACCCAACTACCATGAAAAGAATAACAACAAAAATTGAAAGTCTGAGGGCACCAAAATAGACTGTCTGTGCAAAAGATGATTATAGTAAAACAAGGAGGAAGCTGAACCTCAGTTTTGGAATTACTGAACTGTGCAAAGGCAGAAACCAATCTGCACGGTCATCAGCACTACAAAGCCAAACAACTCCACATTCACAATGGACACAGCCAAACCTGGTCCCCAGAACACTCTCAGAGCTCAGCTACACGGCTACTTGTGAAGCAAGGCTTACAACCACTGTCTCTGGCATTTGTGCCTCAGTGTGGAGGCTATCTGGACAACAGATTCATAAGGAGGAACTCAGCAACCATCTCTGCCTCCAAAGAAACCAGGACAATATCCTGGCCTAGAGAAAGCCAAGGAAGTCACTTGAGGAAAGATCAAAAGAGCATGGGTTGGCTCTCTTCTGAGTGAAAACTGAACTTTTCATTAAAACTAGTGGGAGGAGCCACCCCGTAGGGCATACATGTATAAACTGGCAAGGGAGCAACTTCCTGTGTCATTGTAAGAAAGTGAGCAGACGGCTGCTTAACCACCCTGCTGGTTACATTCGCTGTTCCGTACATCTTGCATTCCCGTCCGAGATGCCTGTGGACTTCCGCTTCACATTACACTCTTACAGTTTAATCACAAGGCCTTAAGGGCTCCAGATCTCCTTCCCTCACTCAGTCTGACATTCTCCCTCTTCCTGAAGTCTGGCTTTATTTATGTGCCTATATATTGTGCCATCACAGCTCTGCACCCTACTGCTTTCCTAACACTTCGGTTTGGGGGATTCAGAAACCTCTAGATATCTATTCAGGCCATTTTCACATCCATTATCTCTTCGTTTCAGTTAAGTAGTTTTTAGCTCTTTGTTACTTTTTTTTTTAACAGGTAGTTCTGAATCCCCACTCCTTGGACAACTCCACCATCATTGTTGAATCTGTTTCTCTCTAAGCACTTTCATAAACTCCAATCCATCAAAATCACTGACACTGTGCTGTCTTCATTTTTAACCTCTTTCATAATTTAAATCATTATCTTTCAATCTAAGAGGAGGTTTTGTATTCTTTATTCTTATTCTCCACTCTTTTCAATATTCACCTTAACTTGTCTTAAAAATCTGTATTCTTGGGATTTCCCTGGCAGTCCAGTGGTTAGAACTCTGAGCTCCAACGCAGGGGACACAGGTTTGATTCCTGGGTTAGGAAAGTGAGATCCCAAATCCCACATGTCATGTGGCATGGCCAAAAAAAAAAAAAAAACAACCCAACAAAACAAAACCTAATCTCTACTCTTGTATTTAATCCACTTAAAACTGAACTGACCTAACATGGGTCTTTCCTGACAATATCTTTATTGTTACTCATAACTGGTAACATGAGATTACAATTTTAAATGTCTTCTCCATTGGTTCGAGGTAATCTGGCTCAAACATCTACTCTTTTATTTGTCTCAGGGCTGACTTGGCTGGTCCGGTTGTTCACTTTCAACTTGAAAGACACATGGTTAGATCTTGCTCAGGCAGCGGAATAACCTTTCCAGGCAGAGCGAGACTAGCTTTCAGTCAAAAGAACACGGTGGGTGGCTGGACTCGCTGACTTCCTTCTAAAACTTAGTACTGCTCACTCTGATCTTCTCTTTTTCAGTGGTTTTCCTTCCACAATGCTGCAGCTTCTGAAATAACTTCTTGCTCATGCACACATGCTGTGTCACTGTATTTCTATCTTTGTTGTAGAAGCCAATATGATTTTATTCTCAGTTTGTGATTTTTTTCCCCTCTCTACTCTCATTCAATCTCCGGACAGTCCTTCTCTGGCTTGACTCAATTGCTGTCACCCAATTTCTTTCTCTCTAAAACTATACCTCTTCGATATCTTAAATTTCTGTGTCCTACTTTCTTCAGTGTTATCTCTTCATCTTAGCTTTCAGTTCCTCAATACTTAAAATTCTCTCATCTTCCTAGCTATAACCCATTTGCCCTGACCTTTTCTCTTCTATATTTTGCTATACTGTGAGAAGGTTCCTTGACGGCTCAGCAGGTAAAGAATCCATCAACAGTGCAGGAGACATGCAGGAGATGTGATCCCCGGCTTGGAAAGATCCCCTGGAGAAGGGAACAGCAACCCACTACAGTATTCTTGCCTGAAAAATCCCACCGAGAGAGAAGCCTGATGGAATACAGTCCATAGGGTTGCAAGAGTTGGATGTGGCTGAGAACATACTGTGAGACCTAAAAATCTTTTCAATGGTGCAACTATACTACAAAATTATCACAGCTTCTTGTATTAATATCTTTTAGAATTTGACTCCTTTCTGAATTTTTTGTAAAAGTTATACTCAAGCTTACATACATTAGGTAGTTCTATATGAGGACAGAGATGGGTAAGAATTGTCTAAAGAAGAAATTTTTAATACCTTAAACTTACACAGTGCTGTATGTCAATTACATCTCAAAAAACTGGACAAATTTTAAAAACAGAAAGTTAATCTATTCAGAGTCTTACTTATATCTAACAATGTTTGTTTAATTACCTGATAAGATATACAGGGAAACAGGAAAAGGTAGAGATTGTCAGTGGGGGAAAATGACTAGCAAGAGAGTCTAAAAGTTTAGACTTTATTCTGTAAAAAAGTGAGAGGTATATAGATAATCACTATACGATGTGAAGAACTGACTCCTTGGAAAAGACCCTGATGCTGGGAAAGATTGAAGGCAGGAGAAGGGGACGTCAAAGAATGAGATGGTTGGATGGCATCACCAACTCAATGGACATGAGTTTGGGAGCTGGTGATGGACAGGGAAGCCTGGCATGCTGCAGTCCATGGGGTTGCAAACAGTCAGACACGACTGAAGAACTGAACTGAACTGATATGGATAGAATCAAATGGACATACGTCCATCTCAATTTTTTAACTTCTAAAACAACTCTGCATTAGAAGATACAAGTTTAAAGTGGATCTTCAGGTTAAAAGAACTAAATATGTCAAATAACACTAACCAAGAACCTGTTTTCATACTAACACAAAATAGAAATGGTTTTCCTTTGAAAGAATGTGAATTTAGCTTCATATTTTTTAGAAGTCTGGTAAAAAACAGTTAGAGGCTGTCACTTTACAGGTTCTGCAGGAAATACGCCAGTCTACAATTCAAAGAGGCCAGAAGTCTGTTTTGACCTGAATGCATCCTTTCCTTTACACTCTCTGTCTTCTCAGGAGCCTCTGTCCTCTCTGCTTCCAGACTTCCATCTGTTGCCATGGATACCTATTCCTTAGGCTCTGACATGGGATTCTCTCCTCCTTGCTGGCCCAGTTTTCAGTACCAAGTACTGTTTTCTTGTGCACCAGCTCTGACCACAGCCCTAGGGGTACCAGCAGGCATTCTGGGAGCTTTTTCTTCTCTTGACTCAGAGCAAGGGACACACGTGTTGAATAAATGGAAGGACCAGATCTTGAAAGTATTGACAGCAAGCCATGACATAAGATGAGATTGATAAGATCAGCAAAACAATACAAAGATAAAAAAATGTGATACCTGATGGGCCAGGATATAGATATTGTGTCCAACATCCTTTGGGGAAACATCATCATCTCCGCCCTCATCATCCCCATGATCGCATTCCAATCCTTGGTTGTAGGCATTCTTCATCACATCCACCTATCAAAAAACCAATAGGAACATCAAGACTTGAAATGCCACAAACAACATGCATTTGCCACGTTTATGGGGTATAATTAAAAACTGGAATGCCTCCTAAGACTTGAAAAATATATAAGAATTCTAAATGAAAATGACACTGGAAACCTTCTTCATGTAAATGATTATGGAATTATTTTCCTACAAAATTCTGTTTTCCTTGGAAAATTTGGCTTTGATTTTTGAAAGCTGACAGGGCCAAAGTTTCCATGAATTAGGAGACTTTGGAACCCTGATAAGCACCTGTTATTTATCAAGGGTCCACTAGTAACAAGAACACATGGTGCTGGACAGACACCATCCTCTGCCTGAGGACCCAGTGGTGGATATGACAGTTTCTGCCCACAGGGAGCTTACCATCCAGTGGAAGAGTCAGCAAGGGGCCAGCATAACAGTCCTGCCTGCAGCAGGAGTAAGTGTGACGCACTCAGTAAGCACTAAGCATTAATTCAGGCAGGAGGTTGAGGGTGGCCCACAAGGAGGAAGTGGATGATGGGATAATAGTGTTGTAGAGAAAGGAAATGATATTTTCAAAGGACCATTGTGCAGAGTTGCTGTTGAATGAAAACATAACTCACCACCCTCATAGGAAGTGTCTTGTTCTTCCTAGCCCCCTGCCTTGCAGATACTATGCTGTCATTAAATATGTTAAATCAAATTGCACCTTATCTTTCTCTTTATCTGCATTCTTCCACTCTATTCCTTACTATTAAAGAGAGCAAAGAGGTCCTTCATACATCATTATTTCCCTACCCTCCCTGCCTCTCTGCTCTTCTCCCAACCTTCCATGTTTCCTGTTAACATTACACATTGCTTCCCCGTCCCTTCCCTGAACCTCCCAGGCCCACAATTTGTTCTAATATTTAGCAAATGCTCTTTCACATCAATGAACTTATCCTGCTTACACATTAAAAGTGTCTTCAGAGAGTTGCCCATAGCACCAACAGGGGTACTCAAACAACTAGGACTTAGTTATTAGGGGACTGGCTATACAGTTCGAGAATGTTCTCAATGCTTTTGAAACTCAATGCTGTTAAAAGCATGCTGATATTTCTTCATAATTCCCATGTCACAGTGAGGAGGAAAGTATAACCTCTCCAACAGGAAGACAGCACTAATGATCTCTGGGGATTTCCCATCAGGTCTCCATGCAATTTTCTCCAGGCTGAACACTGTGTCATGTTTCACTAAGGACAACTGCAAAAGATATTTATTTTGCTTTTATTTTCAGAAAGAGGTGTAAATATAATTTTTGAGGGGTACAAACATTTTTTATTTATCTCCCTCATATATATACTAATACACAGACTAAACTTTTTTGGGGACAAAAATAATTTGCAGATAGTTCAGTCAAGTGTAACAAGCTGGTTCAGAAAAGTATTTAGAGTGGATAAACCAATGAAGTCATAAGGACCCAAATCACACAGGCCTTTGCTTTCATAAGCCTTCTGAGGTATCAGTAATGGCAGGTCATGATGTGCCCTCATGTCTTGGTAGACCAGGGAAAGCCAGCAGGCATTTCCCCTGACATGTATACTATACACTGTCCCTTTTAGGTTACACGTTATTGACACGACTTTCAGAAGGTTTCTTACCAGTTCTCTGGGTCTCATGTTGAAAAGAATCCTTTCTGCATTCTCGCTGTCATGTCGGCTTTCCATAATGGCCAGCAAAAGCTTGGAGGCATTGTTCTAAAGATACACATTGAGTTGATACACATTGAGTTGATGCACATGAAAAGTCTATTTCATAGATTAAGGATTCACTGCATGTGTTTTAATTGAGATTATCAGGACTATTTATTTTAAATCAAGCACAAGTGTAACCTCCTATTTTCAGTTGGCTTATTAACATTTTAAAAGAGAATGTTTTATTTTATTGTCAACACAAAATAAAAGCAATGAATCATTCGAGGTATGTTACAAGGAAATTTTAAATATTGCTATAAAGCCCTTTTAAATACAAAATTGACTTTATATATGATACATTAAAATATAATCATATTTTCCTCCACTATTTCCTAAGTAGAAAATTCTTCATATTTTCTATGAATACAATCTAACAAGACAGTAAGTTGAACCAGTATCAATGACATATTTGACAAAAATGGCATATAGTTCATTAGAATTCAACACAATTGTTTTTAACATGAAACATCAACTCATAGCAAATCAAAATCTTAAATAAATTTGATCAATAATTACTGAGAATTAATTTATAAAATTCTAAATTCATGAGCTAGAAAGAAAATATAAATTTATTGATAATAGTTTAGACTCCCCACATGGTAATATACATGCAACATTTTAACAAGTTGGATTGTAGAATATTTTCTATTTTTGTTTAATAGAAAATAAAAACAGTTCATGTTGTCCTCGGTGCTTCCTAATTTGGTTTTAAAAAGGTATTCTCTCAAACATGTTTATCTATAGAAGAAATATGTTTCTGATTCAGCCATTTATTATCCAAATTGGGTACCACACAGTTACAGAAAGTCTTACAACACAAAGCACAATATCCTCAGCATTTGGAATGATGCTCTGTTTTCAATTTCTACAGATTTGCACAAATCCTAAAATTCCCTTTTTATAATAAAGCATCCCACACAAACAACGTATCTTTAAAAAGGTAAGGTTCTAGAGTTAGTGGAGAGCTTGCATCTTTAGAGCAATCTGAACTGACCCAACCTGGAATCAAAACCCTGGTAACACTAAGAGTACTCTAGTGAACGTCACCCAACAGGCCCAATACAAAGTAGCTTAAAAATACATCCAGTTTCAGAATGCTACTGGCAATATGGTGTTTCCCTAAGCAATCTTTTTCATACTATCTTGGAGGAATAGAAATCTTATAAACGACCTACTAAAATCTGAATCAATTTGAAAGTACAAGAGACTATATATGCTAAGAAATCCAACTTATATGTGTTAATAAATGATTCTCTTCCAAAAGAAGCTAGAGTCCTTAGACAAAAAAAGAAAAAAACAGCAACAGTAAAACAACAACAACAACAAAACCTACTTATTTTACAAATTCAGCAATTTATAGTCCAGGTCAATTATGAAATGTAAATTAAAAGGGACAAGGTATATATAAGATTTTAAAAATTCATGAAATTGTATAGCAAATGAGTGAAGTTAAATATACTTAAAATTATACCTGTTTAAGTAATTAAATGTAAGAGTAAATGATATATAATAAAACCTTAACACTTTTTTCATATGGCATCTCTATAATGTTCCAGGGAATTTACAATTAAAAGCATCCTACCTATACCTTCTAACATTTGCCAGTATACTATATCATTCTGTCTTACAAACATTGTTCTCATATTGGCCATTATGTACAAAGCCTCATGGATTATTTAGAAACATACACTCATCTCCCTTAGCAAAATATTATAAATATTTCAATTCAAATTCATTCATTTTCTATTTTACACATACTTTGACCTATCCAACTGTCATATTTTGAAAAGGTAACATAAGTGAAATTTTAAATGACCCTTTTTTCAAAACAGATTTTCATTTGAATAGCCAAGAATATCTTCATACAATTAAGTCATATTCATTTATGAAGAGAAAGACCCAAAGCTGATACCTGCTGCAAATAAAAATAGTGAAAATACGCAAACACAACTCTGTTTGCTTACTAAGAGCCATCAGCACAATCTCCACATAAGTAGTACATATCTGTATTCCATTATGTGATCTAAATCTATATTTAGAAAAAACTATAAAAATACCATTTCTATCCTTCTTGGCCATAAATTTACCTGTAAAGGGTAAACTTTATCCTCTCTACGATATTGGATCAACCCTATGTTTACGGAAAAATTTTAAATAAGCACAGTTTTTAGTTCTAACACCTAATATATACAGTCTTTAATAATTCATCTCAATTGAATATCATGTCTTTTTATTTGGAATTATATAGTTTCTTGTGTATATTCATTTATCTATTTCCATTTGAACAAAAAGTTGAAGAAATTTTTTTCAAAATGCCATTGTGCTCCTGACCTCTGATAAATGGAACTGCTGCAAAGTATGCACATGATTTAAGCTAAAGCAACTTCTCAAAGGGGGCTTCCCTGGTGGCTCAGTGGTAAAGAATTCGCTTGTAATGCAGGAGACACTGGTTCGGACCCTGGGTCAGGAAGACCCCAGGGAGAAGGAAATGGCAACCCATTCCACTATTCTTGTCTGGAAAATCCCATGGACAGAGAACATGGGGTTGCAAAAGAGTTGGACATGACTTAGCAACTAAACAAAAACTTCTCAAAGGGAGCTTGAAAATGGCTTACAGTATTGGAGAAAAAATTAAAATTCTAATATAAAAGAAAACAACTTTTAGGAAATAGACATAAAACTAAAACATAGTCCTCTTCTACCATAGTCTCATTAATTGTGACTTGTTAGATAAGAATTCTATAGTCAAGACGCATTAAAAACATATAGCGTAGTGAATGTTCGGCATCTTATGTTCCTCTAGATAATGAAAAATAGGAAAGAAAAGCAGTGAAACAAAGTGACTGCTTAAAAACAGTTCCAGTAAGGTGTCCTCAAATCTTATTTGACACTTTACCAGGAATTCAGTGCTCATTGGGCTTTTACTATCCCTTTCTGTCAATTCATTACTTGAAAATATAATAATACGCTTGCTTTTTAGAAGACTTACTTGAACATTTAGAGTCAACTCTGAAAGTGAGTTTCATATAGAGAATGTCACTTTCCCCTTTGCCCCACCAGTGGGTTTACTTTACCTTTAGTTGAAGCACCAGGTCCATTCGATATTTACCAAGAGGGTTTATGTCATTTAGAATCAAAGCAATGATGATATCAATTCCATTAGATTCATGAGTAGCAATACATGTCTAGAAAACAAAATATTTTAAAAATAACAGCCTATTTACAATATAAGAGCACTAGAGGCCACGACATAAAATAACAGAATCACCTTAGCTTTTTGACCTTTAAAATACAATTAAGATTTAACTTTGAGATTAAGTCTAAGATAAGTCAAAGATTTAACTTTACTTATTCTTTTACATAGAGTCTATTATTTGATTAGTGTTAATTAAAAGACTTGTATGAAGAACACAGAGGAAGACATTGTATGAAACAGGTATCTTTTCAGGTGAATGATTTTTGTAGAATTTCAAAAAACAAAGGTCTATAAATTTTTATATGTTCTTCATTAGAGAAATTCTTTAAATTTAGAATTTTAAGATCTGATCAATTTTAAGAGAATATTCCTATTTATAAAAACCTTATGCCCAAGGTTTGTAAGTCAAGTTTATCTGTAATGATGTGGCATCTTCATTTCTCTGCTATTTAATGCTAAATGAGTAACAATCTATGCTGTTGACTGTGCTGGGAATACAGTCACCTCCTGATATTTCAGACATCGTGTCAGTTATGCTGGTTGAGGGAAAAGGTCAGCAAATTCCTTAAACTTAAGCAATTTACAGAGGAATCTAACTTGGGAAAAGTTTATAAAGTACCCTGAGAGATAAATGTCAGTATTTTGAAGGTTAGGGCCTACCGTGCTAGGACTCTGAATTTAATTCATTTTATACAACTTGAAAATCGGGAACTAATGATTGGAATTTGTGGAACTACATCTTACCATGCAGCACCCAGAGTCAAAGAGGTTTGAAAAACTGAAACCCAGGTAAGATAAACGAGAAAGAGTAAAAGCAAGGTAATTCTGAAAGGATTGTTATTTTTCAGGATGGGCTTCATTTCTCTCTTCACACAAGGAAATTTTTACTCGCCTGACACCAAGGAGAGGTATCTTCCATTCATCTGCATTTCCTGAGGTTCTTTTGATCATGACAGTGTTTGCTAAACTTAGAGGAAATCAATTTGCAGATAATTTCTGAAATTAGCTAGCAATTTTCCTTCCTTCCACATATTTCCAGAGCATGGGGATCATAGTAACCTTATTTTTAGAGTATATGGGATTCACGCTATATTATTATTAATTTCTATTTTTAGAGCTAACTTGATTTAGTAACTTTCAAAACTCAGTTTCATTTTCTTAAAAAACCAAGAGTGGAGAATACATGCTTTCTATTATAGATTTACTTGATTTTAACCAACAACAAAATGAAATCTTTGAATTTGCATATATTTCTTTAACTTAAAATCAACAGTTAGGTTTTCTTATATTATTGACCAGGAAGAGTGAAATATAATACAGAGCAAAATCCACAAACTCTTTCACCATGTCACATGCATATTACAGGGGGTAAAGATCCCCATAACAAATTACTTATGTCAATAATTGTCATATTTTTGTTCTACATACCTATGTATGTACATGTATGTGTGTGTACTTTGTACATATGTCATATAATTTGCAATAGAAAAGCAATTACTTTTCAACATTTCTTTCCTGTGTCAAGCACTGACATTTGGTCTCAGTGGCTTCTTTAAAATTTATATACAGAAATGTTTGTGATTTGAAAATTCTTCCTTCCAGGGTGGATCCATGCTTGTGATGGTAGCTCCGTAACACCTATGTGGATGCGGAGTCAATAAACTCCAGGCTGCCCCCTGCCCTTTACAAACCCAAGTATTCCATCTTCTACTCCTCTGTGTCTGTGATATCCAAGAAAATGGAATCAGAGACAAATACTCTGGAAGAGGGAGTCAAAACTTTGCCCTGGAAAATGTTACACAGTCAAAAGGGCACTCTGTTTAGATTCAACCACAAGTCCTGAGTTTTAAGAATGGCCCTACAACTTAAAGAGATTCCATTACTCTGGGACCCTGAATGTCACTTAATTTCTGAGTCACAATCTAGCTATCAGCAAAATGGGAGCAATATGACCTATTTGCTACATTTACTGTCAATATAGAGATGGTAATATACACAACGCACTGCAGTGGAGCCGAAGAAGCCAAAGGGAGTTGCATTTGATGCCACAAATCCTGGAGAGACTGACTAAAGATGAAAACTGATCAATGATGAAAACACATATTGTACTCTGATTTTTATCTGGGATGTTTTCATGGGAATTTCCTTTTACAGTGAAATTAAATTAAAATATGGCATAGTATTTGCTAGTCCATAATTCAGTCTTTGTATGCTTTGTTAGGAAACTAAAAATATCTGGCAAAGTAAAAGAAAGATCTTTCAAATGTACACAAAGCTTGGCTCTTTCACCAACTTGATCCTTTGGCTGACTGGTCGGAATAATTTTCGTGAAGGACTGCTTTCAGTTACCTGATTTTCATGGCATGGACCTTGACAATACTCAGTCAAGCTCTCCAGAGTCTGGTTGACCAGCACCACATTCTTCTCGTTGATGTAGAGACCCAAGAGTCCCAGGCCCCCTGTTGTACTTCCACAAATGCAATCCAAAAACTGAAGGGTCTCACAGACAAGGTTGTAATTGGTTTTGTTGTTTTGATTCCTTAGGAAGTTCTAAACACAAAAGAAAATATACCCAAGGCATTAAAAAAAAATCCCTATGCTGAATGTTTTCAGTTTTCTTTCTATGAGTGTTTATCCAACTCAAGAGGATCCCCATGGCAATGTGGAACGGACCTGCTCTTTAAAAGGAAGTATTCACATTTATTTACATTTCTCTTGGGATTAAGAAAAGAGAGATATATTTTTCAAGCATCTGTATTTATCAATACAGTTCATAACAACATCTCTCAATGTCATTATCTTAAAATTATATACAAAGGGAAAAAATAATTAAGTAGCAGGTAAGGAGAAAAGAAAAAGGAAACCAGAAGAAGTTAATTAGGGAAAGAAGTGATCGAATAGTCAACTAAGCAATCCCTTAAACATAGTGCAGCTTCAAATGATACAACCACTAAGAAGGGCAACTTGGGGGACCTGTCAACATTTTCAGCAACAGACAACTACAAAGAGATCCACAGCACACTGCTTGTAACAGCCCCAACTGAAAATCACACCATACCAACCACAGTGTGACTGATTTAATAAATAATTGCATATCAAACACTGGAATACTTAGAAGCTGTAAGAATGAGGTACTTCAGAGGGCTCTCCTGGTGATTCAATCACTGGGACTCTTCCTTGCAGTGCAAGAGATGCAGGTTTGATCCCCGGTCAGGGAAGTAAGATCCCAAATGCAGTGGAGTAACTAAGCCTGCATAGCCTGTATGCTCCAGAGCCTGCCCACCACAACTAAAAGATCTCATATGATACAGTGAAGATCCTGTGTGTGCAACTAAGACTCAATGAAGCCAAATAAATAAGTAAATACTTAGAGAAAAAGGAGGCACTTCAATATGTACTGACATAAACACAATTTAGTAATAATTTAGTAATCAACTTAGTGATAATTAATCTAGTAACTGCTGTTATTCAGTCACTAGGTCATGTCCGACTCTTTGAGATCCCATGGACCACAGCACAACAGGCTTTGCTGCCTTCACCATCTTCTAGAGCTTGCTCAAACTTATGTCCATTGAGTTGGCGATGACATCCAACCATCTCATCCTCTGTCGTCCCCTTCTCCTCCTGCCTTCAATCCTTCCCAGCATTGGGGTCTTTTCCAATGAGTTGGTTCTTCCCATCAGGTGGCCAAAGTACTAGCATTTCAGCACCAGTCCTTCCCATGAATATTCAGGGTTGATTTTCTTTAGGACTGATCTCCTTGCAGTCCGACGGACTCTCAAGAGTCTTCTCCAACACCACAGTACAAAAGCATCAATTCTTTGGTGCTCAGCCTTCTTTATGGTCCAACTTTCACATCCATACATGACTCCTGGAAAAACCATAACTTTGACTAGATGGACCTTTGTTGGCAAAGGGATGTCTCTGCTTTATATTTTTTTATTTTTTCCATTTATTTTTATTAGTTGGAGGCTAATTACTTTACATCATTGCAGTGGTTTTTGTCATACATTGAAATGAATTAGCCATGGATTTACATGTATTCCCCATCCCGGTCCCCCCTCCCACCTCCCTCTCCACCCGATCCCTCTGGGTCTTCCCAGTGCACCAGCCCCGAGCACTTGTCTCATGTATCCAACCTGGACTGGCGATCTGTTTCACACTTGATAATATGCATATTTCAATGCTGTTCTATCAAAACATCCCACCTTCACCTTCTCCCACAGAGTCCAAAAGTCTGTTCTATACATCTGTGTCTCTTTTTCTGTCTTGCATATAGCGTTATCATTACCATTTTTCTAAATTCCATATATATGTGTTAGTATACTGTATTGGTGTTTATCTTTCTGGCTTACTTCACTCTGTATAATGGGCTCCAGTTTTATCCATCTCATTAGAACTGATTCAAATGTATTCTTTTTAATGGCTGAGTAATATTCCATTGTGTATATGTGCCACAGCTTTCTTATCCATTTGTCTGCTGATGGGCATCTAGGTTGCTTCCATGTCCTGGCTATTCTAAACAGTGCTGCGATGAACATCGGGGTGCACGTGTCTCTTTCAGATCTGGTTTCCTCGGTATGTATGCCCAGGAGTGGGACTGCTGGGTCATATGGCAGTTCTATTTCCAGTTTGCTCTGCTTTTTTAAGATGCTCTCTAGGTTTGTCATAGCTTTTCTTCCAAGGAGAAAGCATCTTTTAATTTCATGGCTGCAGTCACTGTTCAGTGATTTTGGAGTCCAAGAAAATAAAGTGAGCCACTGTTTCCATTTTCCCCCCATCTATTTGCCATGAAATGATGAGACCAGATGCCATGATCTTACTTTTTTGATTGTTGAGTTTTAAGCCAGCTTTTTCACTCTCCTCTATCACTGTCATCAAGACGCTCTTTAGTTCCTCTTTGTTTTCTGCCATTAGTGTGGTATCATGTGCATATCTGAGGTAGTTGATAACTCTCCTGGCAATCTTGATTTCAGCTTGTGAGTCATCCAGCCCAGCATATCACATGATGTCCTCTGCATGTAAGTTAAATAACCAGGGTGACAATATACAGCCTTGATGTATGCCTTTACCAATTTTGAACCAATCTGTTGTTCCATGTAGGGTTCTAACTGTTGCTTCTTGACGTGCATGCAGGTTTCTCAGGAGGCAGGCAAAATGGTCTTATATTCCCACCTTTTAACCAATTTTCCACAGTTTGCTGTGATCCACAGAGTCAAAGGCTCTTCTACATCAAAGCAGAAGTAGATGTTTTTTTGGAATTCCCTTGCTTTTTCTATGATCTAACAGATGTTTGCAATTTGATAAGGTAACTACTAAAGGGCTTCCCAGGTAACACTAGTGGTAAAGAACCCTTGCCAATACAGGAGACACAAGAGACATGGGTTCAATCCCTGCATCAGGAAGATTCCCTGGAGGAGGAAATGTCACCCCACTCCAGTATTCTTGCTTGGAAAATTCCATGGGCAGAGGAGCCTGTTGGGTTACAGTCCATCGGGCTGCAAAGAGTCAGATACAAGTTGGCAACTGAGCACACACACACACGGGATTAACAAACACACACTACCATATATAAAATAGGTCTTCCCCGGTGGTTCAGATGGTAAAGAATCTGCCTGCAATGCGGAAGACCCAGGTTTGATCCTTGGGTCAGGAAGATCCTCCAGAGAAGGGAATGGGTACCCTCTCCAGTATTCTTGCCTAGAGAATTCCACGGAAGACAAGCCTGCTGGGCAACAGTCCATGGAGTCACAAAGAATCAGACACGACTGGGCAACTAACACTTTCACTTTCACATACAAATAGATAAATGTTAAGGATTTACTGTATAGCACTGGGAACTATTCAATATCTTGTAATAATCTTTAAAGGAAAGTAATTTAAGATTTTATATATATATATAAAACAGAATCATTTTGTTGTAGTCCTGACACTAACACAATATTGTAAATCAACTAAACTTCAAAAGCAAAACAATCCTCTTCTATATTAATGTTTATAATAAAAACATATATTAACTCTGTTTATAATAGAAAATATATTAACTTTGTTTATAATAAAGACATATAAAGATACTCTGTATCCTCACTCAAGAAATATGAACTGAGTTGGCAATGATGAAGGCCCTCTAAGTCTTATAAAACCCTGAAAGGTATAGATGAGGCAAAACTGACCTTATTCAACAAATCTCAGAGTCCTAAGGTTAGATGATACTCATTGAGACTGAAGAGATGTGAGTTGAGGATGCAAAGAATGATACTGTAGGAATGCATAAAGGAATTTTCTTCTCATTTTTCTTCACCCAGATACCAAAATTTCTTCCCATTTCGGAAAAGCACCATTGTTCTTACTATCTCTCCAAAACTTGACTTATTATCTCTCCAAGACTTGTTAGTTTTATCTGAACTTACTCACTATCATCATAGGCTGGATGCTCAGCTCTCATACAAAACAGAACAAGTACCTGCAGCTCCCGGTTGTGATTCTCACAGAGTAACTGCAGAAACCTCAGAATCGGCTGCATGATGGCAATGGCAGGGCTCATGGTGACTTCCTCGGCGGACTTGTCCTCCGCATTTCCCGCTTCAGGCCCTGCACACATCATGTCTATTTCTGGATCCATTTCTCTTCTGTAGACACAGTATGCTTTGGATGTGGCCGAAGAAGCTTCTGTTAACTGCCCTTTCATCCCCTCTTTTAGATGTAATGATGAATCTCTTACTGAAAATAAAACAGTACTCTTATATTTATGAATTAACTTCCATTTGCTAATTAAAAGAAGACAGTTACCCAAATTCTCTAACGACTGGGCTTCAAATCACCTGACAAGAGGTGCAACAACTTCTCCCAAAAGAATCTGAAGGAGCAGCCAAAAAGTTAAATATGCACTGGGAGTTTTTTTAAAAGATCTTAATGCTTAGTCCATTTTAGAAGGGCTCTTCTCTTTCTGATAAATATAAAATTAAGAGCTCCTGAATACAAAAAAGTGAGAAAATAATACAAAGTTCAAAATATTTATATGATTTGTTTTTACTATCCTGATGACTTTGTTATTCCAAATTCCAAGAATCTTTCACAGAGTTTAGTGCTATAATTTTGGTTCTTACAGTTTACACTTCATGAGCATTCAGAAGGTTTGGGTAGTTGTTCTTTACCATGAATTTCACAATGAAATCAAACAGTTTCATGTTACTTGTTGCTTTGCACTGATAATTCCTTGTTTGAGGCTGACCCCACAAAGCTATTTGAAGGTCAATACCATGACCACAATAATTCAAGGACAGTGTTCCATACACAGAGGCACAGGTTGGATAATTAGACTAAGGTAAGTGAGATGACAAAGATAAATGAGATCTAAAAATCGTGTTACCGTCTTTTCTCTTACTCATTCTCCCAAATACTCAACTAGTCCTTTACCTCTCATTCGTGGGCCAGATGTCATCAGTTCTGGGTCATCATCCCTTTTTTTGTTACCTAAGTCGATGGTGTTAACTGTCACTGTTGATCTTATCTCTTTCTGAGCAGCTTTCATTCGGTCATAAAGAACTTTGAAGAATTTTTCTGATTTTTTTTGTTCATGTAACTGCTGGTAGAAGGAATACTGCAAGAAAACATATTTTAAGACATTGACCCCCAAGAGTGTTTGAAATAAACATAAGCATTATGGATAAAAGCCCATATTTAATGTGCTGCTCATGATTATTTCATAAACTGACAGCTTTACCAGTTTCCTATACTATTTACTGTGTCCTAATAATAGCTTATATTTGCTTAGTACTTTCCACTAAAATTCAACATAATTTTATGTTATTGAAGTCACCTTTAGTGATTATTTGTTTTAAAATTTCATAAGAACACTGTAAGAGTGGTATGCAAAGAGCTCTTTGATTTTTATATTATTATGAAGTCATATTTTGTGCAGTACTATTTATTGAGGTCCTACTATGTTCCAGGCCCCATGCTGTGAAGTAATAGAACACTCAGGAAAAACAGTTACGATTCCTGCCTTCACAACTTTGTAATCTAGATTGGAAAACAACCACTAATTCTGTGATCCTGTGATCATCTTTACTTTTTACTTAGGTAAAGAGTTATTTTCCTCTGTGTTACCATGGCAGCCTCACGCATAGGAACCCACTGATAAGCAGGTACTAAGTCCCTTGGGTATTTTATTAGCTACATTGCTTTGCATAGGATCTAGAACAAGCCCACCCTAAAATGCATGAAGTGAACTCTGCTTCACAATCATCAATGACGTGGGAAGGATTCAACAGTCAAGGTATGATAAAAACACATCTCTGGAAATAATGAACCTTGAGATCATCTGCCCTAATCATGGTCTGCTTGGAGAAGTATCCAGAAGAGGTAGGAGTTAGGAAACGAGATATGCTCTGGACAAGACAGGATTCACATTGGGTGGTGAAATTTTAAGTTATTAAGACTAAAACCACAGGACAGACACAACACAAACAAGAGAAATACAGTAAAAATAATTAATAAAGATAGTAATTCTAGTCACTGTACTGATATGAGAAGAGTTATACAAACTTGATGAGAGACAATGGGAAGAAAACATCTGAAGAAATAATGACTTCCAGATCAAGTAGAATTGCCCATAATCCAATAGAGTAGATAATTTTGGGGAGTTTGGTTCCTACAGATACCCTTTCCTGAAAAAGTGCCTGAAACCATGACTCACAGGTCCTGGGACTTGCAGGTGAGAGTCTGTCTAATGACATCAGACCTGGAAATGGATACCTGTCCTGAAATTTCTGCTGTGGGTGATGCACATTCTCAAAGCGTTTTCATAAAGTCTTACAAGTTGGTTTCATACCTACAAGGGGGAAGCACTAGGCAGAGGGCTAGCAACAATTCAAGAAAGCAGGCCAAAAAGCCACAGTAACCATAGCAACCACAGTGAAACCATCAAGCTAGTCCTATTAATTCGGAGGATAAAGGCAGATTTCAGAGACCTCTATGGTCCCATAAATTATGCTTATGCTTGAACCCTAATATTTTTAATATAGTGGCATTAGAAGGCAGAAAGGGATTCCTACTTATTAATGAGGAAGTTATAGAACTTTGTGGTTCTACTAACACAAAGTTTTATAATTTTTGTTGTTCCTTGACATGTATTATCTCATTGATCCTTTCAGGACAACTGTGTGATGAAAACAGCGTACTTCTTCCATTTTATATATCAATAAAATGAAGTTTGGTGAATGTAAATGACTTGTCCAATATTATATAGTAGTAATAGAGATAGGATTTAAATCTAGATTCTCCAACTCTAAATCACTATATAAAATAACCCTTTAAGCTCAAAATAACAAATGATTTACATGGACTTTTAAAAACTAGAAAGGAAATCAATCCTAAATATTCACTGGAGGGACTGATGCTGAGGCTGAGGTTCCAATACTTTGGCCACCTGATGTGAAGAACTGACTCATTAGAAAAGACCCTGATGCTGGGAAAGATTGACGGCATGAGGAGAAGGGGGCAACAGAGGATGAGATGGTTGAATGGTATCACTAACTCATGAGTTTGAGCAAGCTCTGGGAGATGGTGATGGACAGGGAAGCCTGGCATGCTGCAGTCCCTGGGATCGCAAAGAATTAGACACAACTGAGTGACTGAACAGGAACAAAGTTGAACAGTATGACTTTAATAAAGATAAAGCGCATGCTTTTATCATATATATATATAATCTCAAGAGGTAGCATAACAATTTAATCCCTCACAAAGGTGCAGGTTTTGGTTAGGAAACCACCTCCATAAGCTTCAGAGTATAAGGGGAAACGCCCTGTTTGTTTTTTTTTTTTCCAGGAGCCAAGGTGAAAGACAAACAGTTCCATGTGATAGAGGAAGCACTTCCCCCCAAGAAGGCTGGAGGGCGACTAGAAACGAGAGAGCAGAGAAGAGAAATGAAGTGAGGACCCAGAGAGATGAAGTACTTATTAGGGTGTAATGCGGGGTGGCTAGTCAGTGAAACTTCCCAGGAGTGAGTAGACAGAAGGATATTTTGGAAAGGACAGTTTAAATATTTATTATTTATTAGCTGCATCATATGGGGTCTTCTGTTGTGGGGTGCAGGCTTAGCTGCTTCGCAGCATGTAAGATGTTAGTTCAACCACCAGAAATCGAACCCATGACCTCTGCATTGCAAGGTGCGTTCTTAACCAGAGGACCACCAAGGAAGTCCCGGAAGGAGATGTTTATAGTGCTTAAGAGCCAGTCTGCATGGGCTCCAATCCTAGCTGATTTCTAACCAGCACGTGAGCTGACATGTATCTCAGATTCTTCTTTGGTAAGATGAGGTAGGATTCGAGTTCCTGCACAGGTTGTTGTGAGGATTAACCACGCTAATACACAGAAAGCACTAAGAGAGCCTAGTGTTTAGGAGGCATTATTCTCACTGTTGCTATTATTAGTGTACACTTTGAAATTGTAATTTAACCATCTTCTTTCTCCTCCCCTCAACCAATTTTTAATTAAGTACATTTAAACATATAAATTGATTTATGTAGCTAGGAGGGTAAAACTTAAGAAAGGGTATCAGATCCCTAATTCAGGACTATAGAAGCTGGGTGTCAAGACAATCACTGAACTAAGTAAGCAATTCAACAGTGGCCAATGAGACAATTAGAATATAAATCCCCCTGGATTTTGACAGAAGTCTTGGGGAGGGCAAGCATTCAAGCTGACTTCAACTAGACTTCTTAGGGCCAGGAGCACACAGTTGACATCTGGGTTACACAATGATGTAGATAAGTGGGAAATCTGGATAGTGTAAGGCTGGTAAACAAGACTGTCATAACCCATTCAAAAGATTTTCATAAACAAAAATCACTGAATTCTATTTCATCAAGTATTTGTCAGATGGCTATAAAGCTGTAGATATGAAGAACAAGACATGATAACCCTACTTTAAAGATGACATTTAACTGGAGAAACAGAATGTCATATAGATAACAACCAAGCAAAGCAGCATAGGAAAAATGCCGAGTGAGCATCCAAAAAGCAAATGCTATGGGAGCTCAGATAAAGAAGCGGTCCCAAAGGCCACAGCCAAATAGGGAAGACTTTGTGAATAGAAATGGACTTGGACCACTCATTCATAGGGATGTTCACTTCCGATTATTTACTGAATCCCTAGGCTGGGCCAGACACGGTGCCAGAAACAAGGGATGTGAAGATGGGAAATATGTGGTCTCAACCTCTAAGGATTCCTAATTCACTAGACAGAGCCTGCTGTGCTCATGAAGAGGCACACAGACACACACAGATGCAGAAACGCTACTGCAGACATCTGCAGGATGCAGCAGAAGCACAGAGTCACTAGTGGGCAATTCTGTCCAGTGGGACCCGGGGTGAGAAAAGGCTTCCAAGAGAAGCTCATGAGTTGAGTCCTCAAAGAGGAGAAAGTGACATGAGAAACGGCACAGCACATCCCAGGGGCTATAAAGAGCTTAGCACAGCTGGTGCACAAGAGAAAGGATGGAGGCGGGGAGACATGGAGCAAGAGAGGAAAGTTAGAAAACTTGAAGAGACTAGATTATGAAGGAGCATTTGCCTTTTTAGGGGAAAGTGACTGAAGTTAAGCAGGAGAATAATATATGTTTTGGAAAGGTATCTTTAGAAGCAACATGATTTTTTTTTTTTTTAAGTGCTTAATAAGAAGTGGTGTCTACTTGCCATGAATAGGGAAATAGATTCTGGAATTGCCAATTAGTTGTTTTCCTTCCTGACCAAGGCAAACCTGGAAATATCTGGTTAGTGAGTGGCAGGGCTGGGAGGAGGAAGCCTGTTCCCTGGGAACACGTCCCAGCTCTCAGGATCACACAGGGAGCTCTGCCTTTGGGTGTGGGGAAGTTCAGGGGTAACTTAGCAGGAGTTTCCACGTCATGTGTGTGCCTTCGGGAAATAGTGGTGTGATCCCACGTGCAGGTGAGCACATTGCTCACTGGAGGGGAGCACCGAACAGATAAATGATGACACTCAAGTCACCCCTTCTGAGCTGAATGAGTAAACAGAAGAAAAAAAGAAGGAATGGTTGTTCTCTCCCCACAACAGTGAAAGCTTCACCTACTCAGAGGCAGCAGGGTAACAAGCGCTGGCAGATTTGGGGAACAGGGAACAGAAGAGTTCTCCGTTTCTGAAAAAGTAACTGAGATACATGGTGAATGTTATCAGAACTTGTTTTAATGTCAAGTACTGTATGTGGAATTTATATATATATTAACTCATTTAATAAATGCACTTAATTCCTTTTTTTGCATATAATTCTGGGATAAGTCAAAATGTTGTCCTAATCTGCTTAGTCAGCCTAAAATTTCCCCAGGCAAATGAGATTTTCTGGAATGTTCTGCTTCACTGAATAATTTGCAAAGTTCTGCTTTCCAGGTAGCTCAGTGGTAAATAACCCATCTACCAATGCAAGAGACTTGGGTTCAATCCCTGGATCAAGAAGATCCCCTGGAGAAGGAAACGGCAACTCATGCCAGTATTCTTGCCTGAAAAATCCCATGGACAGAGGAGTCTGGCAGGCTACAGTCCACGGGGTTGCAAAAGAATCTAACAGGACTTCCTGACTATACAACAACAACAATGTAGTTACTACAGCAAATCAAAAAATTTATAAGGGAAATGTGATACATTTTGTGGGGTTGTTTTTTTTTCTTTTTGAGATAGTCATGAGAAACTTAATGAAAAATCATGACTTAGGTTTCCAAGACAAAGAAGTAAGAAACACAAAGTAAGCAAACGTAACCAATGGCAATGATGGTGAGCAGGTACCTGAGTTTGTGTGTTTCCGCCTTCCAGCAAGGCAATGCCAAGTAAGATGCCTTCTGAAAAAATTCTGTCATTTTTGGTATTCACTATAACATCGATGACAAGTTCAGATGCACCTTCTTTATCCAGGAGACACTGAATATCTGACATGGATATCCCCATCTTATCTGAATCTTGCCCAGAAAAGCTTCCTGTGATTAGGAAAAATAATAAGTAAACTTTTGTCAAAAGGCAAAATTAATTCTAAAGTTCAAATTTGTTTCACGAACCCAAAATCATACAAAGGGTTTTTAATGTGCTTAATACTTATTTTTCCAGTTTTATTGAGATATAATTGATATATAACATTGTATAAGTTTAAGGTGTACAACATTAATAATTTGATATATATATATATATATATATATATATATACTGAAAAATGATGACTACAATAAGATTAAATTCATCATCTCATAAAGTTAATTTGTATTCCTTGTGATGAGAACTTTTAGGATCTATTTTCTTAACAACTTTCAAACATGCAATACAGTGTTGTTACCAACAGTCACCATGCTGTATATTACAGTCCCAAGATTTATTTCTTTAACTGGAAGTTTGTTCCTTTTGACTACTTTCACTTAATTTCTCTACTCCCCACTCTTTGCATCCGGCGACCACAAATCTGATCTCTGTTTCTCTGAGTTTAGAGTTTTTAGATTACATACATAACTGATTATGTCACTTAGCATAATGTCCTTGAGGTCCATCCTAGGTGACACAGATGGCAGGATTTTCTTTTCGCTATGGCTGATGATGGTGCTTTTTAAATGAATTTTTTCATATTTGTGCTATTTTAAGTAAAACACTAGAATAATACCAGCATGCACAGATGTTATTAAAATTTGAAAATAAAGGGAAAAATGATATCTTGCCTCCTCCTTGTGCAGTTTTGCAGTAGGTTCCAGAGAGGTGTCCATTTATAGAGACTCCGTAATCACCTTTAAAGTATCGATTCAGCAGGATTTTTCTTAATGTATTACCCTAACAATAAAACGGATAAGAAAAATTTTATTGTTTCTTTTTCTAGTAAAAGGGAGAGTTATCAATACATTAAAATGCCACTTAAAATGCATTTCATCAATGATGTTGAACATGGAAAAACTAACATTGCATAATATTTTCTAAGGCAAAAATCTGCCAATATTTCCCATGAAAATAACAAAAAGTGTTGCCTCTCCAAGAAATAAAGCATAAATATACAGTATATTTAATAGAACAATACAGTCACAAACTCTATAAATTTTAAATTGCTTCAAAAGCTGAGGGTCCCGGTGTCGGTAAGAATATTCATGGTGTCTAAAGAAAACACAAATTAATAAATAACCTAAGAATTGGAAAGGAAAAACCTTCACTTAGATAGGCCCAATAAAAAGAGCTAGAAAAAGTCCTAGGTATACAGAAGGTGCTCAAAAATTTAAGCTTGATAAGACAGAGTGAATTATATTTAAATTCCAAGAGCTTTATTCAGAAGACAGTGGGCAAAAGATAGTATATCAAACACACAATTCAAAAATTCCTGTTTTCTACTGTTGACTGCTAATGAGGTTGACAGATTGTCATATACTAATTGGTTGTTCGGACTTCCTCTTTTAGAAAGAGTTTATTTACCTGATTTTTTTCAATTAGATTATTTCTTTCGCTATTAACAAAAAGGAGTTCCTTATATATACTGATTTCTAGTCCTTTGTCAGTTGTATACGTTGTAAATTCTTCTTGTTTATTACTCCTCTTTCACCACTTTTTAACGAAAAGAGCCGTTTAATTTTAGTGCAGGCACATTTATCAGTGTTTTCCACTAGTCTTGTGTCTTTGCTTTTTTGTTAGAAATTCTTTCCAACTCTGATTCAGAAAGACATTTTCAAATATACTCTTCCAAAAGTTGAAAATTTTGCCTTTCACATTTAGATCTGTACTCCAATTTGAATTGAATTTTGTGCCAGGTGAAAGGTAAGATCTTAATTTAATTTTTTCCATATTGACATCAATTGTTCCCACATGATTTATTGCAAAAATCATTTTTACCACTTATTGTCAATAAACTCCTATCATATACCAAAATTTTTTTCTGTCTTCAATTTTATATGGATTACAAGAGATTTTAAAATAGTATATTTTGCAATATAGTTGCTTGCATGAACAGAAGAAATATACATAACTCCAAATCTTCCATTTTATTGGTTATGATTTTAATCATCAAGGGTAGTTTTTAAAATATTATGTAAGGACTATAATCCTTACATTTAAATTACTTACATTAACACCACAACTGCAACAGTAAGGACATTGTGGTCCAAAAGCTTATGCAATTGGCCGCAGATCATGCAGCTAACAGGTGATAGACTAAGACCTGAGCTCAACTCCTGATGGCAAAATGTGGCCACTGCCCCAGGCCATGCCACACGCCTGTTCCGCATGCCTCCCTTTCCTGCTGTGACACATGACTCCATTGCACCTTCTCTCTCTCATGCTTTGGTTGTCCCTGTTTCTCCAGCTCTTCAGACTTTGCCTTCAGTTCTCCAACTCTTAGCTCCCCACTCCATATCAGCAACTTCTTCCAGCCCTTGCTTGCACAATCCATTGGGCAGGTCTCACTGCCAACTGTGTCTCCTCCATCGTTGACCTGGTTCTTCGGAGCCTCTCCTTCTCTTTCCATTCACATTTCCTTATCTACAGCTGGAGGTTCTGCGGGCAACTAAACTCAGCTTTTCACAATGGATTAATTCTTCTCTCTTCAACGTGTTTTTTTTTTTAAGTGGAAGAAATTCAATTGGTTTCAAGGTGATCACATCATTCTTGTCTTTTAGGCTCCAATATCCCCCCAACTTGAAAATGATTTGTGAAAACCTACCCATTCTCCTTTTTCAACTGTTGGCTCCAAGAGTATCTTCACACTTTATACTGTAACCCAACTGAACTATGTGATGATTCCTCAACCACAGTTTTCTAAGTCTTTCTCTTTGTTCATATCATAGTCTCAGTTTGAAAGCTCTTCTTTTGTCTTACTTATGGACATATCCTTGGAGGAGGACATGGCAAACCACTCCAGTATTCTTGCCTGGAGAACCCCAAGGACAGAGAAGCCTGGTGGGCTACAGTCCACAGAGTCACAAAGAGTCGGACACAACTGAAGTGACTTATCAGGCAGGCATGGATATATCCTATCTTCCCTCTTCACTCTACAAATATTCATTAAGAATCAACTGTATTTTGGCACTATCTTAAGTTTATAAGATATAACCCTCCTCTCAGATACAGGTCTAAAGAAGAGACTTTTAGACTCAGTGGGAGAAGGAGAATGTGGGATGATTTGAGAGAATAACATTGAAACATATGTATTACCATAAGTAAAACAGATAACTAGTGACAGTTTGGTGTACGATGCAGGGCAGCCAAAGCCGGTGCTCTCTCTGTGACAACCCTGGGGGGCAGAGTGGGGAGGGTGGTGGGAGGGGGATTCAGGATGGAGGGGACACATGTATACCTATGGCCGATTCACACTGATGTATGGCAAAAACCATCAAAACACTGTAAAGTAATAATCCTCCAATTGAAATAAATGAAAAAACACAAATAATTTTTTAAAAAATATAACCCTCCTCTCAAAGAATTTACAATAAGATCAGTTCCATAAGAGAGATGTATACTAAGACCTACGGAAGTGCTTAAGGGGGAACGGCTGACTCAGAAGAGGTTTCACAAACCTCCCCTGCTAACCCAGATGATCATTCCAGCAAACCTGTCTCATGCACAGTCAGTGTGGAACAAATGTCCTAAATGTCACAGTGCCAAGAATTCCAACAGACACTCAGAGCCTTCCAGTGACTTTTATTTACTGACACTCAAAATTTTTAGAACATCTATTATTACTCCCTATTTCATGCTTTCTTCGTCTGAGATTTTTTCATATAGGGGTGCTGTGAGTAAAGCTGATGACTAGTCTTAGAAGAGAAAGTGAGGCGTTAAGAGCTTATTCTACCAGTGAAGAGAACTCGACTCTCCCCTGTCAAACCAAAGTGGGGCACTTATAAAAGACACAAGAAACTAAAAGTTCTCATTTAACTTTGAAAAGAAAGCCTTTTGAGGTGAAATAATTTCATCTGGCCAAAGAATGATGCTTCCAAAAGGGTAGGAAAAACAAAATAAGACATTTCTTTGGAGTCAAACAGACTTTTTATCATGTATCTAATTACAGCAGAAGGAGATGCTACAAGAGAACTTTTTAGACCCATAAGTTATAAGGTTCAAGTTGTAACCTGGGGAGAAAGATGTGAGAACACATTAACTGAAGTAATTTCTTCAAAGGGCAGCTCAGTTTGTTCTAATCATGGTTCTCACCTCTACACATGAATGGATTGCTTCTCACTCAAACCCTGTAACATACGGTTGGCCTAGCTGTAATAAATAAAACTGAGAAATGTGAAAACACAGGACTGTTTTTCTCTTTTCAAGGTATGACTATTAATTAATTAACTGATTTTTTTGGCTGTGGCATGCATGCAGGATCTTAGTTCCCCAACCAGGGATCAAACGTGCTCCCTGGCAGATGAAGCGCAGAGTCACTGAACTGCCAGGGAAGTCCTAGGACTGTTTTTCTTGATATGGCACAAGTCACAGTCACCTCCTGGAAGAGAACCTGCTGCGAATGGAGCCCCAGGTGAACAAATTCCTATTTTATTCTCTGTAAGAGCCTTTTAACCCCATTACTCCAAGAACTCAACCAAGAGATAGAGAAATGGTAGTTTTTTTTTAAAGGAGAACTAGAAAGCTACATTTTACCCTCTGTTTTAAAAAATGCCCTTTATATTGCTAGAAGAAGAAAGCTATTCAAAACCAATCAGAGAGTTGAAGTGTTTCACGGCAGATTAAAATATGCACCCTATCTGTCATTATTTCTAAATTCTTTTCAGGTAGATAAAATGAAATTGTAGATGCTTACCAGATTCATAAACATCAAAATCAAATGAGCCACACTTTTGTTATCCAATTCCAGCCAAGTTAGAAGCATATGTTTTCTAACTATGTGAATTTAGAACGCCACAGAAAGGGGACAAGAGCTCCCTATATTCTGCTTTCAACTCTGGAGCCACACCGTCTGTGCTTCAGTCCCCTCTATGCCACATACAAATGGTATGTTTTAAGCAAGTTACTTCAATATTCTACCCAGCACTCAGTCCTACAACTGTCAAACGAAATGATCATAACACCCTTCGGGGGGCTTCTGTGATGGGGAAAATATGTAAGTACTTAGAACAGTTTCCAGCATGTAGCAAATGCTCTGTGAGTTGTGTAAAATTGATGCTATTGCTAGTATTAATACCAGATCACAGAACAGTTTACAACTGACAAGGTGATTTTGTACATAGCTTCTCACTGTATGCCAAACCGTCCCATATAATAAGAAAAGGGCAAAAATAATAAATGATAAACTAAGTGAAAATCCTCATTTATCCACTATTAGTCAGTCCTTGGAATTACATACTTGTGAGCTAATCTGCATATACTTTGCCATTTAAAATGGACCTTCCAACTTCAACTAAGTGGAAAAAATTTTATACTGGTTCCAACTCCGCAGTTTTCAAAAAAAGCAAACCTTGGAGCTAAACAGGGCTTCCCAGGTGACATTTGTGGTAAAGAACCCGCCTGCCAATGCAGGTAGACGTAACAGATGCTAATTCAGTCCCTGAGTGGGGATGATCCCCTGGAAGGGGGCACAGCAACCGACTCTAGTATTCTGCCTGGAGAATCACATGGACAGAGGAACCTCGCAAGCTAAGATCCATAAGGTCACAAAGAGTCAGACATGACAGGAGTGATTTAGCACGTGCATGTGGGGCTAAACACGAATGCAGAATAGGCAGAGATGGAACAGGATTCTGTTTGTCTTAACTACCCTCATTAAAGACTGGAAAACTTCAGATATCACTACATCACAACATTTCCGTTGTCTAGTACTGAGCTCTAACTTGAAGGATGGGAGGCAA